TTTTTGTAAACTTGTCTCTAATACCACGCTCATCTCAGCACCCAGTTGTCTCTGATTGTTAATCAAGTTGGGCTCGAGTTCCACAACCGGGATGTCCCATGTGATTTATATGACCGAGAGTTATTATCAGGATTTTCAGTTTCATGCTAGGTCTCAGTTTGGGCTTCCACTACCTACTTCGGTATACGTCGCATGCCGATGCCGGTAACATGCGTAACACATACTCCAGCTATCGTAATTCACGGAAGTTGGGCACGATGGTTTACCATAAGTTCCTGTTGGTAAATTAACATGTTTCTAATCGATGTTTTTAAATATGGGGGACTGAATAAGCATCATTGTACTCCTGAAAGTTTTTTTTAAATTTACACTCCCCATTGAGCGGCACGATTTGGTGACAAAGTGCGCTGTATCCCCGTTGTTAGCGCACATTGCGTTGAAGTTGCTTTCAAAGCACTCCAACTTCACTAGCGCATAGCTCAGCTGTCATCCGAGGTATTCGTCAAATTCGAAACATACAATATTTTTTCGTTTTGGAAAACACTGAGCTCTGTGTGATTATTAGCCATATTTTTCCGATGTAGTAGGTGATTACCAGGCAGTTCACTGTTTACCTGATCGTCACGTGTGTGTGTGTGTAAAAAAGTCTGCAACAGAACAGTTGTTATCTCCGCTATTCATAGGGTTGTAGTTGTTCTTGTTGGCTTTCCGGACAATCATTTTCGCACTTTGGGCACTCATTGCGTGTGCATCGGACGCCGGAATTATCCTCCTCTCCCCGCCTCCCACAAAATAACACGGTGGTGGTGGTGGTGGTGGTGGTGGTTGGAAACACCGATGNCCGATGCAGGTGCATCCACACACTGTCTTGAAAGGTAATTGTTGTCTGTTCGATAACTGTTCACCTCATATCACCAAATTATAATCTGCACAATACGCTGTCATATTCTCTCTTCCTTTTCGTATGAATCGGCTTGCGTTGNTCTCTCTGGCTCTCTCTGTCTTTCACTCGCTTCCTCTCTCGGTAATGCAAACGCAGGGGTGTCTTTCTTTCGCCGGTTTATTGCAATCTAGCAAGCGATGATAGTCGCCGTCATCGTCGTCGTCCCATCGAACTGTAACGAAAGCGAGGGAGGTGGTGGTATGGTCTGGTGAGGATAATCACCGTAGACGACGCGTGACGTGTGAATTGCGCACTTGATGTCCGTGTGATGTATGACGTATGTCTTAGTGATCGATTTACCTCGTTCCATCCACCCGGAACGATTAGTCGTTCCAATCAATACAGTCCGTGTAGGCGGGTTAGGTTGTTCCGGGAATAATTCACTTATGATGCAACTGACAGGTGTGCCTTGAATAAGTCCCACTCACCCACCTCACCCCCGCATTCCGTTGTATTCGAAACCATAGTGTGATGAAATTATGTTGATTCATCCACGTGCAAGTCAGCTATAGTAAATTGTCGACAGTATTGGCGTTCCCGAACACTGGTTTTCACTGAACGTGATAGTCCGCACGCGAGTAATCTGCTTGACCATCTCCTCCTATCAGAGCAATGTTTTGACTTTCTGTGGTGCCCTTTTGGGTGGGCTTCGGGATCTCGATTACTAATGGTGAAATACGTTAATTCTGGGTTTGTCCTATGTACGGTTGAACAAATCTATAGGAAAAAGATGATTCGGTGCGGAACAGTTTTCCTCAATGAGGTGTGTGTGTGTGTGTGCGTGTGGGAGATCAGGTCTGAACGAAATTAAACTTTTATAGGACGTTTTTTCTTGTCCAAATTTGGATGGAATCCATAAGAAAGGCAAAATTATATGAGTGGTTATTTTCATCTGATTCGATCCCGTTTATGATCTTTTGTCTCGTCTGTTATATTACAGGCAATTTTGTTTATCCATTCTGGGGACGGGTGAATATGATGATAAAAGTATGATTTGACAGTTGGTATTCTGCACTAACGGTTAGATTGATTACCATATTTATCGAAGTTCAATTTGGAGCATATGCTAAACCGAAAAAAAATAGTTTGAGCAAATCGGTATGATCATTTGATATCGATAGACGACGGCACGCTTGTTGGTCACGCGACGTAACCAAATTAGCAACATTTTTTCTCAACCGTGTTTCGGACTCAGCCTGTCAGTCAACTGTCATGTTCTTTTTGCAACGTAACTTGGTTTTTTCCATCAATGACGGTACTTTTTCTTAGTCCACTACGCCTGATTTATCACCTTCGAATGTAATCTGTTGATCTGATGACCGCGGTTCTCAGTACGCACATACACACACACACACACACACACACACACACATACGCACATAAAACGCAACCGAGTGTGCTGCACGGGATGAGAAACATCGCGCATGGGACCAACCGATATCGGCTTACATCCACATGCGCTCGTTTTACTCGTGTAAAGTTCAATGAATCAAACAGCAAAAAAGACTCACCGGGGCGAAAGAATTTCTACAGCTTAATTTTCTTTGACTCCGGACTAGTGGCATTTGAAAACTGTCCTTTTTTCCATATTTCTAGCATAAGTTACTGCATCTGCACTACCGCCCGCGAGCACACACACAAAACTATTGACGTGCCACGTGTTCAACCACCTGGTATGCATTTTATAGTCATTCATCTGAACTGCTGAACCTCATGCGCCGTAAATTGAATTGATCAGTGGATCAGTCAATCGTTTGTTGGTTTGTTCGATCAATCGATCGTGAAATTTAATCTTCCTCGTTTAATTATCCGCGTTGCTCAAAACTTTCGCATTCTCGAAGTAGACCATAACGAATTCTATCCTTACCGAATCTCATATCTGTGTCAGTAGACCGATGCGTTCGATTCGACGATTAACCTGTCAGCTGTGAAGATGAACGATTTGAATACGTCCATCAATGTACGATCGTACATTCTCCATCTGACATGTACGACATTGTTAAATGCTATTCACTGCCTTGCTCCTCCCTTCATCCCTGCACTGTAACTGTTCGCCTTCCTCATCCCCTTTTTTAAATGCCTACTAATTTCATAACTGAGTTTCCGGTTCATCTTGTAATCGGTGTCCATCTTTCCGGCAATCTACGGTCCCTTAGTTATCTCTCATTCTGTCGCTGTCATTCCTCCATGTAGATATGTAAAACGTTGTGCATTTCCTCTGTTTTTATCGATTGTGAATGTACCAGCCGGTCACATGACTGTGTGTATGTGTGTGTGTGTACGTGAGTGCGTGTATCTCTTATTCTGAGCCTGGGGCGAGCATAAATCAGATCTCTTACATTAATTCTCTGAAGTGGTCACTTTTGCATTGAAACGGCGTGTTGTCCGTCTCCAATTTTGGTTGGCTGCTCTAAACTTTATCCCATTTTCCCTAAAACCATAATTGACCCAGTTGAGGATAAACCACTTAAGCAGCGAGTATTGTATACGGTCGCACAAACAGAGCATCAATATTGTACCTCTTTGTTATTTGTTTTCCCACTTTTTCTCTTTTATTTCCAAGTCTTCTGTCCATATCATTACCGCTATCGATTTAGTACCTCGCTTGTCCGCAAGCAAGATATATATGTTTCATAACAAGTAGTATATGAATGACTAGACAAAATTTCCCTGGAAGCACACAACCGGTTTCGCAGTTCTTGCCGCTTGTCAGGCATGCGTACGCGGTAATTTCGTCAAAGTTCATTCATATACTTGTACCCAGGAAGTGTCTTTTCGTCACAATAACCTTGTTTGCAACACCCGATGACATTTGGATAGACAGCTTTTTCAGAGCCAGTCCATTGAAGAATCAGGACTATGATTCGATCTTTTGCAGTTGGGCTAGATGCTACTAACCGCAACCATCGTGACGTGAGCGTCTTTATAGAGTAAATATATGTATTTACATTAGACATTATTGTGTGATAACCATCAGAGAGGGCAAACTCCATCGACACAATGGTCTATTGTTTACTCATAGAGACGTTCAGCCGAAATCCGGAAACTTAGAGTAGCGTACCACGTACAGTCCCATTACGGTAGTTGCGGTATTCATTCGAACGACAGCCATGTCGTCTACCACCAGAGTTCTGTGTCGTGGTTCGAACCATACTGGTGACAGCGACTTGAATCATTTTTGACCAGCACCATAACCACCACTCATATGCCTGTGTGAACATGTATATACATGCACGGATCAATGCACTCTTGCACTCTTTGAAAACGTTACATATTTTCGATGAGTGTGCTGTTAGTGAACTCGATCGTACATTCCAATTTATCTGACATGTGTACTCATTTCTATTTGTTCCTCAAAATAGTTGCACTGACTTGCACTTCGAGATATTCTACAGCATTCCGTTTAAATTGCTCTTCTTATTCCAACTACCCCCTCGCAACTCGATACATACTAATCTAATTATATATATATATACTATTATTATTATTATTATTACTAATTATATATTTACCATTCAAAATTGCTAAACACATCACGGAACAACAGTCCTAATCACCAAAAAATCATTCCGTGTTTGTTTCCGCATTCTGCTCGATTTGTTTGCAATCTTGAAAAGAAATCATTTCTGACTTACACAAAAACTTATCCTCTTCAAGTCTTGTCTCTAAATGAATGGGCAAGATGTTGATGAGTCATGAACCCACGGCTATCCATAATGAGGATGATGGTGATGATCATGATGACTCATTTCTAAGTTAAGTAATTAACCAAAGATTGCAATGGGTCGCGTTTTGTTTCATATTGGGTTTGTTCTCAAGGGGTTTGGTCTATTCATCTGTTCCAAACCGCTCAACCATCTCATCCCAATGCGTTCTAACGCTTCTTCATTTTAACCCATTCGTTCACCACTCCGCAAATGAACTTACACACTTTCATTCATTTTGTTCTCTTTCATATTCAACCCCTACTCTTCTCCCCCCACCCCCTGGTTCTCGCGAACGCGGTGCATGTGTTTTTTGCACACACACAAACACAGGTGATGTCATGACCTTGTTGATGAAACGAGATACCCTCACTGAGCCGCAAACTCAATTCTACATTGCGGAGGCGGTCCTCGCGATCGATTCCATTCACAAAATGGGCTTTATTCATCGGGACATCAAACCGGATAATTTGTTGCTTGATGCCAAAGTAAGTATTTTCATGCCACCGCTCCTCCCTCCTCCTCCCGCACGCTCTCCCCGAACTCCACACTACTGGGAGCTGTGAAGCTAGTGCGACAACATTGTCTATGCGTTCCAGTAATGTGGAACTTTCCCCTCCCCTCCTCGATTCGCGTGTACATGTGTCGCGTGCAAACTGGAAAAACATAGTACGCACCGTTTTAGTGATTTTCGAATAGATCATTCAAGTGGGTTCCATCCGATACACAGGTTTTTCGTTTTAACTGCAAAAAATTTGGAAAGGGAAGCTGTTGATTTTCCTCTGAACAACATACGTGCAAATCATAACTTCCAATTCGTTTCGGTTCACGCTCTCGTCAAAATTATCGATTCTATTACTGCTAATGGTTCCTTGAATCGATTTCGGGCAAACGGTAATAAATAAGCCAGTCTACAGTTAATTCGAAGGCTTTGTCCTTTTTCCTATGCAAATATCATCTGTCGGACTGAAAAGGTTTTGGAGGCATGAGTGGCTTTTCGTTTAAACCGCCTACTGTTTATGTGACCTTGAAACCGATTCAAACATGTGGTCGCGTGACTTTTTCTCAAATACGGATAAAAGCACTTGTTTCCTCTCGATAGATCGATTAGCAAAGCAAATTTGTGTTTGGTGGGCATGGCCACGACGCCCTTGATACTTGTTGAAATAAAAGTTAACCAAGATCTACAGTGTTTATCTCAAACGATCTGCGGAGAAATATTAACTGGAACAACAACGATCGCTATCAAAGGTAGATGATGCCGTATCTACGTTTGTCGAATAAAACGGCTAATGATACGGACCTGTAAATGTGCTTATTTCACATCAGGGACGTTTTCTTTATACAAAGGGCTGTGTGAACTTCATGCCCACACAGACCTTTTGTTCACCGATTTTATCGTCACCAGTAATCCATGTCCTCAGACGTGTATTGCTAGACCACTTAAACGACCGTGGAAATGGACGGCATCACAGAGTGAGGTCATCAAAGGAATACAACTTAGTCAAAAGTATCCGAATTTGAAGCACTGAATAAAAAACAAGTAGATCTGTGCTCTAAGCACGCTTCAAAAATGTACTGATGACGCTGTGCATTTTGGTACCATTATTATTTATTAATCGATCACGCACATACATGATGATCTGAATATCTGTACAATGATGTTTTTTTGTTTCCGGCATAGCTCCGACTTAAAGTGGATGAATGATTGTTAATCGGGGACGGGAGAGCAGGTGAGACATTTACACAAAAATAAGGTGGTATTTCGGAACTAAATTTAACTCATTTGTTCAAAGTTTACGAGCTTTGGACTTCCCAATAGAGAGAAAATTGTAATAAAATGGTAACGCCTTGGGTAGCAAAGTGCATCTCCCAGACATCCGTTGAGGAAGTCCGACTCACTGTCTGGGGGTGTCTTCACCGAAGGCGGTGCCTAAAAGCTAACATCGAGTGCCATAATCACGGGCAGCTAGCTCATCTAACGAGCCGAAAAACCTTTATTTCAGAATTTCGAAGAACTATTTAGAGTACCAGGATCACTTTCACTAGCGCAGCAGGGTGACATTGGGTGTTCGGATATTGAGACCAGCGTCCGGATAACGTAAGATCTAACGTACTAGACACCGATCCTCGACGAACTCCAGTTTTTATGCACATCGCTCTGATGCCTAGCAAGCCAAAGAGATTATCTATAAAGTTCAGCAGAAATAACCTGCTCTGGCTAATACGGTCTACCAGTATCCCCAAGATTGCTTTTGTGTCATGACGATGTGAGTGAATACCATGATATGTTTGGACATTAAAAGCGTTTTTAAGGTCCAAATGCGATGGAACTGTTTGTGATAACCAACAAAACGCTGTTTCGTCCTGTTTGGGACTCGTCAGCAGTTCATACTATTCATGTCCCTGTCAGGACTCGAATTGGGAACATTTGTGTCGGGAATTCTAACCCATACCCTTGAGCTACGCGGTCGGCTCAATCAATTTTAGGGTAACAAGCTTGAATTATCCAATCCGATTGTTTAAGGAGTGAAACCCACACACAAGACCATCAAGAGTGCCTGGTGCCTCTGAACAATCAAATGGGCTGATCCAAACTTGATACTCTAAATCGCTTTAAGGTGAACCATTTTTTTTCATGTATTTCCGCTACCGTTTCACCTGCAACTGAGTAATTTGAGCACTTGTCACGCAACGCTTTCACTCATTAGCTTCGCAAACTTGAATGAAACTCTGAATAATTCTCTAAAGAGGGTGCGAAATGCTTCGTTTTTTCTGTTGATTCCTGCTATGCGATTAAATATCATCTTCATTAAAGTTCGCAAATTCTAGCCAATGGTATCGATGACTCGATCGTGAGTATCATTCACTGATAAGTTTTAACTTGTTATCGGGTTTTGTAAGGTTTACTTCTCTTAACTGAAGAATGTCACTTGGTTTCGCACTTTTCTCATTGAAGAGTTCAGTGCAGTTCTCACAACCATTAGCCATGCACTTTCGTGCGCCGGGTTTGGCTGCTATCTTTTGGTGTCCCATTTGGATAGAAGAGCAGTTTCAAGAATAGAACATTGACAGCAGATTCAAGCGGAAAATAGCACATTTATATCGACAGAAGTTACAAGAATAATGAGTAGATGTATGAGAGCCACTGTTGGCGACACCCAGCCATATCGCTCAGTGTCTCTAACCGTCGGTGACCATGATCTCGGGGTCCCCAGCCAGGGAGCCTAACGGAACCTATGTGATCGAGTCTCTAGGTCAGGGTTTTCATACCTTCATGCCAGGTCTTTCCTACGGAGATGCCATGACGGAATGAATAGTAGATATATTGCTACTTGATTGAACAACTCAAAAACCGTAGTGAACATATTTCTGGCTCATGCATCTCCGTATGGTATAACAACAACAATGATAATTATGACCAAAATGACGTTTGCCAAAGTCAAAAGGAGATTGCTACTGCCAACTTCGAAACGAGTGACAACTACCCCTCAGGTTGACTGTTATTGATATATATATATATATATATATATATATATATATATATATATATATATATATATATATATATATATNTATATATATCAGGAGTAGGCAGTAGTGCTTCAAACCACTCCGCATCTGCAATACAGTAATTTGTGTGTAGAATGTTATGGGAGTTACCGCATCATGTGTTATGCTATTGATCTATTGATCTGAAAAATACCGGAGTGGATTATATGGTTTTATAGCTCAGATTCAGGTTTAAATATCCTTTTTGAGGCTGTGTTCTACCTTGTTTTGAACCCACGAGCTGAGCACCCTCAGAGTAGACTAACTGAGTTCACATAGAATCAGAGTGCTCGAACATTAATGGAAATAGTTACAATGGACATGTTGCTGTTTGGGTTCCACCATGGTATTCAGTACCTCGATATCAATTCACCTACAAGTTCTATGTCGAACCCATCATTTCAATGGCTTTTTTTGTGTTCGGTTTTACAGTGCACAAGTCATCTGTTCTCTTTGCTAAGTGACGGTATCCGTCTCATCTTACTTGTGTTTATTTTCAAGGTGCTTGTTGCAAGGATATGCTTTTCTGGGACTA